GACCGACCAGAGGGTGATGGCAGGACAAGCACGTAACACCGAGGTGATGAGACCTCAGCCAGGGCAGGTTTTGTGTGTTCATGCTCAGCATCACGAGTGGTGGTACCACGCTGCCAGGGGAGAGAGAATCCATCGCACCGCGTGTGTGACACCGACCAGGTCTGCCCTGCGCTGAGCTCCTGGAGCCAGCAGCAAACCAGTGTCTCATGGCCACAGGAGCAAGGTGCCAAACCCACGCTTATCAGCCAAGCCCTGCTGGCAAGAGCATCTTGTGGTTGCACCACTTTGGAAAGCATGAGACCGTATTTCTGCATGACACTGGACTCTGGAGCAGCGTCTCTGCCCTGTCCCCCATTTACGTGGGTGCAGGGGTCTTCTTAGCACAGCTTGGGTTTGCCACGCAGCCATTGCTTTTAAATACAGCCAGCTACTCGTGGGGACCCGGTTACTTAGCATGGGCATTTGGCAGCTGCAGGAGAGCTTATTGGACTCCTTATCAGACCCTTTTCTCTGCAGCCCAGGCAGCCCATTTGTGGTACGGCATCTCATTGAGCAGCTACACAAGTCCAAAGGCTTCAGGAAGAGCAGTGCACAAGACAGAACCAAAATGCCTGTGGTATCTCTGTAGGATATAAAGAAATCAGCTGCCGAGCTCAGGAAGGTCAGACGCAGAAGTCCTTATCTCCCTTCCCGCAAATAAGGATCATGAGTAAAGCACTCAAACATCATGAGCATCATGATAGGGAGTTAAAAAAACATGAGCTGATGTTGTTGTCTGTAAATAAATAACATGTTCTGGGGTTTCATTCTCAGCCTTACAGTATCATGCCTTTAGAATTTTGTATTTTGGGTTGTTTTTTTCTCTGCGTTTTTTTAAACGCTATTGACAATATTCTACAATCACTGGTTTCCAGGAACTGAAGCTTTAACACCCCCCTCTGCTTTCTCTTCCCGCTGCCCGCCCCCCCCCCGAAAACCATCTTGAGCCTAGTGATAACATCCCGGCTTCAGCCAACATTGGGTGGGGTATCTATGAGGAAGGTGGTGTTGACATTTCATGAGGCCACATGTTAATTGCTTTCTATCTCCTTCTAAAAGTTCCTTCAGGTCTCAATAGGTTTGAATTTAGTAGTAAACATTTAAACGGCATTACTTTATAGGACTTCATATGCTGTGTTTTGCTGCAGAGGTGGGAGCATTTCCAGGCATGGAGGGCTGATCTCTGCCAAAAGCATATGTGCTTCCAGTGGTGAAATGCTCTTTGGAATCTCTTTGGGCAAAATATATCTTCGTATTTCTAGAAAAACAAGTGTTCATGTATGATCTTACTGAAGGCACAGGTGAAAAGGAGGATCAGCTGTGAGACGGTAGCAGGTAGCCCCAAGCTCCTTTGGAAAGCACACAGAGAACATGAGAAAACGTCGTGAGGAAAGTTTATTGCTAAACAAAACACCTCCAGGTTATGAAGGAGGCTCTGCCAGATCGTAGCTACCATATGGCATTCCAGGTTGTCTGACGTGTTTCATTCCCTAAGCGTGGGTCTGGGACCTTTCCGTTTCTGGCTTTGACTTTGCCCCAGAGATCTTCTGCCTTTAGCAAAACGCTCAGGACCACTCTTTGGCCTCATTTAGGTTTTTTTACAAATTATCAGGGTTGGCATAGTCAGGTGCAGCTCCATCATCGTCGGTGGGCATGGTGCCTGTTTAGGTCCTTGGTCCAAAACACTGTATGTAGATGTACGTGTGGGAGGAGGATCAACACGTAGCGTGGTAGAGCCAGACTCCAGCCCACCGCGTGCTCTGCGTCGCTCGCTCCCGCAGTCATGCTTGCTTTGGTTTTCCCCGTATTTGCCGTGCAGACATCCCCATCCCTCCCCTGCGATGGTGGTCCCTCTGCTCCCACCAGCTACCCCCTTCGTGCCCTCTTGGGTCCCAGGCTGGTCCCGTCCCTGCCGGCAGCTCCTTGCCTGCATCTGCTGGAGGTTTCTCGTAGATGCAGCAAGCAAGATCCGGCTGTTAATGCCGGGTTTACACTGAGCCACAGGTCTTTGCGCTCTCCTCTCTTCATTGTCTGTTTCCAGGAATAAAAGGAAAAAAATAAACCCCAGCACTGTGCAGTGCCATTAACTGGCCATAAAAGTGTTTTGCCGCAGAGAGGCTGGGTGGTCAAGTGGTTTGAGAAGAAGATTGGAAACCATCATCTCCCAAGTTTCCAAACTGTTCGTGTCACTGAGCCTCTCCCGGGCACGATGCTTCACCCCATATGTCTCTGTTTACTATCGATAAAACAGAGCTATTAATACTGTTGTGCTTCAGGGTGATCTTTTGGACCATAATTAATGTTAAAACCTTCTGAGATCACTCGCTGGAAGGAGCTAAAGAGGTACAGAGGGCTGCATACAGCTTCCACCAGAGCTGAATTTATTGGTGCTGATTCTAAAACATCTCATTCGGAGTGAATGGCAATGAAAAACTTTCCTCTAAGGTTCTTGAAAGAGGACTGGTATCAGGTGAGGTAAAGCAATTCCTTTTTTTCTCAAAAAAGAATTTTTGACCAGATCAAAAAATCACTTTGATTCTGATGTTTTTACCATTTACATTTTGGCTTTTTTCTCATATCATCCGAAATGAAGGGCCTGTTTGTTGATATATATATATATTTAACCCAGGCCTGACCAGTACAGATGCTCTTGCTCTTGGCAGCTGAGTGACTTTGTTTCTGTGTGTGATGGACAGAGGGGAAAAATGCAGTCAAAGGGCTAAAACGCAGGTCTTTAACATCACCCAAAGGGGTGGATGTGCTCTAACACCCTGCCAAGCAGAGATGCTTCCTCCTGACCCCACTAGCGATGAAGTAGGTGATGTGGGCACTAATTGCCGAATATTACAATTGTGTTTTGATAAAAGACTGCCTTTTTCCGAGGAAAGTGCCCTGGCACTGATTGCCTCAGAGCTAATGGAGCCTTACTGGCTGAACCG